ACAAATTATTATAGGAATTTAAATTAAAATTATGATAATAAAAAATTAAAGTATAAAAATAAGAAAAAAAATTACAATTAAAATAATAAAGCGCTGCCCCCGTGCAGGGGGCCATCAAAAATGATTAAAAATAGGGACACCCCGTATAGGTGGCGTTAAGATAAAAAAAGCTACGCCGTATACTATACAACTAGACCTCGATAGCTCCGTACAGAGCGCGGTACTCAAAGCGAGCACTTTTTTAAGTGTACGGAAGGTCAGTAGAATGATAACTCCCTAAATGAAGCTAACTTTTAAGTAGCCAAATATAATAGTTTCTAGTAGAATCTAACCTACGATGGTTCTCCTCTTCGACAGGAAGCTGACATATAACTATTAAGGATTTTTCTAGTATTTATTAAAGGCTAACCCTCTTCCAAAAACAAAAGTACGCACGATGAGGAAGGTAAACTTATTTTTATTAACATATTCAGTAAATAGAAAATTTGTTCCGTTCTACTAACACTATATATCGTGTTAGTACCTAATCTGTTATTACCTTTGTAAAGAATGCTCCGTACAGGTAAGCATCAAGATTAATAACTACATTACTAAAGTCACAAAGGATAGAGTCCTTTGGACCTTTTTAAAGGTCAACAAAAAGGAGAAGTCGCTAGTAGCTAATTCACTAGCTAATGATCATATCCAAGCCATAGAATATTTAGGCCTCAATAATGAATGCTATGCCCACCCGAGAAAGGCTCTATTAAAATTTATGAGAACGAGGTTCTAGGTTGAATTAAGCGACCATCAAAGGCCGAAAAAGGGTGTCGCAGCGGTGAGAACCCACGACTTTGAGTATGCGCGTCAATGCTCTTAACCGCTGAGCTACGACGACAACTTTCGATCCTGGTAGTTTTACGTATTTAACCTGTTTTTTTGACTCCAATGTTAATCAAAGCCTGTCACTTTAATGATAGCTTAGGAGTAGAGCAATAGGGTTATTACTATCGCTCATGGGTGTAACAGAAAACTCAAACCAACTAAGGCCTAGCAAAGTAAAGGCAAAACAGCATTTAATACTCAAGTAGAAAGGAAAGCTAAGTTGTAACACCAAAGCTAAGGCAGGAAAGGAATGCACTAAACCTAGGAGTGCGAAGAGATGGTTAAAAAGGTGTACCCAGGGATCAATGGTGTTGTGTTATTACCGATAAAGGATTTTCGTTAGATTTCATAGAGTTAGACATTGGTATAAGGTCCCATTTATCCGAGAGGATGGGTTAACTAAACTAATGACGCAAGGCTAAAAAGAAGCAGTACAAGAATATCGCAGGGTTAAGCAACTTTAATATACTTCCCTAACGTTGATGGGTAGATCAACTAGTTGTAAAAGAACTTAAACGGTTTAGGACACAAGCGCCTTCTAATATAGCCCTTACGAGGTAAAATCCTGGCCCTAGCTCGAGTGGTCACATTAAGGATGAGATAACTGTTACTTTGAGAAAAGTTTGCTATAAACCATTAAGCACTCGTTTATATTACAGATCACCTTTAACTAGTTGACAAGTTAAAAAATAAACCTAGGCGTTTACCATCAGGGTAATTTAGAACACTAGCTCAGAAGTTAGCACTCTCAAATTATTATAATTCTCTAGAGAGCACTAAGAATTATTAAAAGGTTAGAGGAAATGAACACCACTACTTTAAAGAGATTAATAATTAATATCCAGGGTTCCAGGAAGGATCGCACAAATACAGACCTAAATTAAATTCAAGACAGTGGTAGTACTCCCCCCCTTCATTATATGAGCTTGTCTCTAGACCTTAAAAATAGTTATTTTTGAAAATTTTTATTAATAAGGCTTAGGACTATTGTGGCATTGCGGAAGAATGAATCTCTTTCCTTTGAAAGTTACTTAAGTGAAACGATGACAAAACTCTGTCTCTCGGTTTGTAAGCAAGATGGTAGCTAAACCAGCACTGACCATTGTAAAAGTCATCAAAGAGACTGACAAAGAAAAGTCATGCTTCAAAAAGGCTAGAGTCTACTTTAGTAGAACAAAAGGAATTAAGTATTATAGATATGATGGCTAACTAGCTTGTTCTCACTAAATTAGAAATAAAAATAAAGTCAAGTAGGAATGTTTCTTCCTTTCAGTCCTAGGGGAGGTAAAAAAAAGAAAATATAATAAAAAAATTATAAATATCAATTGAAAAAAAATTAACTAGTATTTTATGAAAAATATATAAATTATTAATTTTTAAAAGAAGAAACATATATAAATAAAAAAAGATTAAGTTTAAAATAAATACCGAATATAAACATTTTAAATAAATTTAAAAATAATATTCAGAGATGATTGTTATAAAAAAAGGAAAGTAATATCAACATAGAAATAAAAATGTTTAAAAAAGAAATTGATTTTATCAAAACAAATAATTTACACATAATAAAAGAATAATTTTATAATTAAAAAAAATAACTATAATAAGAATTTGCAATAAATTAATTCAAAAAAAATAAAATATAAAAATAAAATGTGAAAAAATTTAGCTGAACACGTTATCATAATCTACTTGAAAAATATTAATAAGTAAAAAAAAAATTAACCCACTAAAAACAAATTCTTAAAATAAAAAGAAAAAAATTTAGTTGAGTACGTTCATAAAAATTTTTTTTTAATAATGAAAATTAAAAAATTGTAACAATAAAAATTAATTAAATCTTAAATAAAAATAACTCAATTTTTAAGTTAAAATAAAAATAAAAAGGAAGAATTCAGATGAACAAATTATTAACGTTTTTATAATAACAATAAAAAAATATATAAAATTAATTATAAACTTCTGTAATGATATTGACTTATAATTTAGAGAGTTTCTAGTTTCCTTTCGCAGCATTAAAAAATAAATATAGAAATGTAGAATAAAAAATTTCAAAAAGCACAGTATTTAATTTTAAAAAAAAAGTTTGTACGGCTAAAATTTTTTAGATAATATAATAGCAAGGACGTGGTCCTTTTGTAGATTCTGTTAAAGTTATATTTATTAATATAAAGAATTTTGATAGTATTTAAATATAAAAACTTATAGGAAAAGTAATTTTAGATAGAAAAAAATTCAATTAATTTAGAGTAATTTTTTACTAACTCTTCACTTTTAAAACTAATTTAAAGAAATATTTTGTCATAATATCTTTAGTCGTATAATAAAACAATTTTGCTTACACAACTTTCTAGTGTAAAAAAATTTTTCCACAAAATCTTTATCAAGTTTACTAAAATATTTATTTTTTAATTGACCAATAATATTTAAATAAATTCTCAAGCTAGAAAGAGTAAAAATCTACTGCCTACAAAATATGTTTTTTCCTTAAAACAATTATAACCATTTTACTTGCTTTTGCAGGAAACTTAACAAAATACCTAAAATAAACTTTTTTTCAACTTTTACCTTTAAGATGACTAAAAAATATTTTGCTATAAATTTTTAATCGTATAATTAATCATTCTTTTATTGTTAATAATCTCGGTAGCTCTCGCGTAGTATTTTTTAGTATCTAGTCCTCGTAATGAGTACCGAGGTAAAACTAGAGATATAACCTTACTTTCGTTGCTGGAAGACTTTCCTCGACTTTAATACTAAAACGAGTGCACTTCATTGCGCTATAAAGGGTAGATATTCATTTAAAAAAAAATTATTTCGAAGACCTTCGGAAAAATCAGGCACGTACTATTACCACGAAGGCCGTGCGTGCACACTGAAAAATTGTTAAGGCTTTTAAATTATAGTACTTTATAAGCTACTCACTTCGTTAGTAGAAACAAAATGAAGTTTTACAAAGTCGGGTCTATTTTTTACTGGTTTTAGATATGTATTATAAATTAATCATAAAAATTCAACTTACAGAGCTAAAAATTTACTACCTTAATTATTTGCAACAGTAAAGAGCGTAAAGCCCAGTATTAATAAAAACTTTAATTTTTTTTCTAAAACTTTTATAACAGTTTTTCATGCTTTGCAGTATAGCTAAAAAGAGTTGGTTCTCTAAGGCTTTTATTCGGTTCAATTATTTTAATTTGGATTGGTCAATAGTAATTTTTAATGCGCGCGAATTTTAAATATAAAGCAATTGAATTTAATTTAAATTAGACAATTAGATAACCGCTGGCATTTGGATGTAACTTTGTAAAAAAATACTTAAAAAAAAATTAAACACCAAACAATCACTTCTAACTTTTTTATGAATACAAAATATTTATTGAAGGTTAAAAAATTAATATTTATTTTTAACTTTACTAAGTTTTCAAAGGCGCGTCTTCGGTGCTCTTTTTTATAATAATAATGATTATAATGCGTCAGTTACTAAATAAATATTTTCTTACTATTATGTATATTTTTTATTGTAAACCAATTTTTCGTGAACTTTTTATTTCCTTTAGTATACATATTCTTATAATTTTTTATTATAGATATATTATATATACCTATTATATTTTAAGAAATAAATAAGATGAAAGCTCCGATGTAAAGCTAAACTGATAAACAGAAAGTTAATAATTAGTATACAAGGCTTTAGTTCTCGTTTTCTTAAGAAAATCTATAATAAGGAAGCTTTCACGTGGAAAGTCCCTCATGTTTTTTTTGCTGGTTACTTATTAACCAGTATATTTTCCTTTGATAATTAATATATTTTTATTTGTTACTAATTATCCAGCAGTTCTTGTTAACTTTATGACTAAACTCCTTCCCTTTACAAGCAATTCCAACTATAATTATTATAAATTTTATTATCAGTAAATACAAAACTTCATATAAAAGTGGATTTTTTAAAAGCGAGCAAAAAAAATAATGGAATAGTAGACGCTTTACTGGGTAACAATAATAATATCAAATAAAAACTAGTAATAATAATATTTTATAAAACAGAAAAATCCTAATAACAAAAATAATATTAATAATAATACGAAAAAGTAAAAAATTTAGAATTACTAATTCACATATTATTTTTTATTAATAAGAAGAATGTATAAAGTTCAGAAGTAGTCTTGCCATTTCCTAACATAAGTAGAAACCTAATAAACAATAAAATGTATAATAATAATAATAATAATAATAATAATAATAATAATAATAATAATAATAATAATAATAATAATAATAATAATAATAATAATAATAATAATAACCTTTTGGGCAACGTTTTCTGCAAGACCAGCACCGCTAGAACTAACTTTCTCAGCGAACTCTACTGCTGCAATTTTTAAAGAATCTAATATATTTTATAATTATTATATTTATTTATAATTATTATTTATTTACTATTATTACCGTATTTATTGCTTGATAGTCTTGTTTCTTCTTCAATTCCAAACAGTTGAGCGGAAGATAACGATTTGGCACCATCATATTGGCGTAATTGAGCCTAAATTGGTACCAATATATAACAATTTGTTACAAACTATTATTAAGTTCACTAAAAACGTACACTATCTGCTACATAACGATGGGATGTGTTAAACGCTTCGCTGGAAATGGACTTGGCATTACCGAATTTGGCAGTAATTGATTCTATTGGATAAATAAATTCATTACTTTTACTCTTTTATTATTACTAAAACTTATTATTTTATATTTTTCGTTTTATATAAAAATATTAATAACAGTTTATTATTATAAAAAAATATATTTACTATTATAATAAAAAGAGTTAAAATGTTTTTTAAAAGCATAAATATAAACAAATGAATATAAAAAATATGTAGCACAAGTGTAAATATTTACTATAATAATATAAAAAATAAAAATAGTAAAATAAATAAATTTATAATTACTAGAAAAACTATAAAAATTAACAATAATATTAAAAATGCATTATTAAAAAATTCCAAAAGTAATAAAATAATTATATATTGATATGAATAAAATAAATAAACTTAAAAAAAGATAAGAGAATTTTTTATCATAATAAAGGAAAATAAAAAGTTAAAGTGAAAATTATAAAGTACTGCATAAGTAATTATAAAATAATAATAATAAGCACAAAAAATCACGAATAAAAATATACTCACCCGATTCGCTAGAAGTAACACTTTGATTGGCCCTTTCACGACCGCTCCAACTTTCTCGAGTTTTTATAGGTTTATTCAGTTCAATATTTGCTTCATTTTATTTATTATTATTATGGCCGTAATATAATTATTATTTACTACTTTTATAGTATTAAAATTTAAGATGACATTAAATTATATGTTTTCATTAATTATACAATAATTTTTTCTTTATGAATATTTATTATAATAAAAATATAATTACTGTTAATTTATATAATTAATATTAACAATCATTATTTCTACTACAAAAAAATTAAGTTTATTTACTAAAATTTATAACTATTTTTATTTATTACTAAAAAATTATTATTATATACAAGTACCGTTAATATTATTATTTCTATTAAATCCATGCGAAGTAGCTTTTCCTTGATTAATAAAAAGATCTGCATTCATTATTATTTTTATTATTTTTTGGAATACTATTATTATTCTAAATATTATTATATAAATTATTTTCATTATTACTTATTATTTTTACTATTTTTACTATTATATTATTAAGATTATATTATTATTATATTATAATTATTATAAACAACCGGGTTTTTCCTGCTCTACTGAATCGTAATAAACTTCTCGTTCGTCATACGAAGGAGTGTACAGATAATCGCTGCACAGCGCACAAAAAAGTTTTATTATTATAAAACTTTTTTATAAAGTAAATCAAGCCTATACGAGTACGCCGAAGTAAAGTTATAAAGAAGTTCATTATCGCCTTCATATATATAAAAAAGTTAATAATAAGTAGATATATAAAAATACTTGTAAATATAAAATTTGCAACTTTAGAAAATTGCATAAAGTAATTAAAATATACATTTATAGAAGAAATAATAATAATAACAATTTAACATATAGAAATATGAAATAATAAAAATATTCAACATTTAAAAAAAAAGTTAATAAGTATATTGTTAAACAAATAATAATAAGAAATATTTTAAATAAATAAAAATGGTTTAACTTAAATAAAACTTAAAATTGAAAGAAAATAAATATAAAAGCAAAGGAGTATAGAAAGATATTATAAGTAAAATATTTAACTTTTATAAATATGTTTAAGTAAAAGTTAAGAGAAATAATAATAAATAAATAAATAATAAACTATATTTAATAAATTAATAAAAAATGTTTTAAAAAATAATAATAAATAAATAAATATAATTTAATATTTAAAAAAAGTATAAAAGAAATAATATTAAATTAATAAATATATACAAATATATAAAGTCAATAAGTAATAAGTAAATATATAAAGTTAATATCTCAGGTAAATAAATATTAAATGTTTAAAAAAGAATAATAAATAAATAAATAAAATTGTAAAAAAAAATAATAATTAATAATAAATATATAAAAATATATAACTGTGTAGAAGAAATAATAATAAAATAAACAACTATATAGTAATAATAATCATTTAAAAAAAATAATAAAAGTGAATTAATAAATATATAAAAATATAGAATGTCAATAAATAATAAAGAAATAATAATTAATAGGTAAATATATAAAGTGAATGATATATGAATGTTTAAAAGAAGTAATAATGCAAAATAAATAAATATATAACAATAAATAATTGAAAAAATTGAAGTTTAAAGTAATAATACTAATAAAAAAAAATATAACAATATAAAAAGTTAATAGATAATATACTAATATAATTCGATATATATTAAATATACAAAAGAAATAATAATAAATAAATAAATATATGAAAACTTAAAAGTTAATAGACAAAATGTTAATAAAAAAAAAATAATAAAATAAATATTAAAAATATAAAATTGATAAATCTAAATATATAAAAGAAGAAATAATACAAAATAAATTGATATATATAATACATAATGACTAAAATAAATAAATATTAAAAAGAAATAATAATAATAATAATAAATAAGATAATCAATAATAATATAATTATAAAGTTTTAAAAACTTAATAAAAAAATGAATACGAAAGAAAAAAATTATAAATTTTTAAAGTATATACTTCACAAATAATAATGAATTTATTTTATAAATAATAAAAAATAGTGAATAATTTCTTTATTATAAAATGTATAATAATAATAATATAATAAAAAGTTTATACTTATACTACTATGTAAATATGATGATAAAAATATTGTATATAATAATACTTATAAGAAAGTGAGTTCTAATTTCTTATATATTCAATGCAAATTAGTTTAACATAATTTATTATATATATAATAACAATATTTAAAATAGTTATAATAAAGTTTGATGTCAATAAGTCATAATAATATATTAAATATAATAAAAAATAGTTAATAATAATTGTAATATACAAAGCATATAATAATAATAGCATTATTACTAATAGCAAATGATATAAAAATAGTAATAAACTTTTTTATAGCAAACTTTTTAATTGATCATAATTGTACTCAAGATAATAAATATATCCAATAATAGGTATAAGAACAATAATAAAGTTGTCTAATATTTACTTCAACTAATAAGCTATTAGTTTCACAAAGTTTATAAAAAATTAATATATTTATTTTATTTTATTAACTTTTATATAAAAAATAATAGTTTTCTTTATATAAAACTTTTATAAATATAATATAATAACAGAAAAAGTTAAAAAAAAAATTTTTTTTTAAATTGTTTTTTTTTAAATAATAATTTTCGTAATAAACACTAAATTCCAGTTAAAGAAATTTTAACCAATAAAATTCGCATTTTATAATTTTATCAAATAAGGCGTACTAGCAAAGATTTTAGTGAAAAATTATTTAATAAATTAAAAAATAATAGTAATAATAATTATTTATATTATTATATATAATAACATTGCCATACATATAAAATATTAAGTAATTATATAATAATAATTATAATTATATAATCATATTTAATAAATAACATCACTAGTAATATCAAAAAAATAAATAAAATAATATTAACTTATTATTTCTTTATTCTAATGACAAATAATAACGATAACTAGTTAATAACTAATAAAACCTTCCGAACTTTGAGAAGAGAAGTCATCAAACAGATCACGTGGCGTCCTAAGGGCGGATGAGTAAGTGGTAATTGGCATATATACTAAATATGTTCTAGCCAACCGGTATTCGGCATCCGGAGTGGGGATTATGGTCATATTAGAAGTGGCGAAATGGGCATTTTTGTGGCCAACAGACAAGCCGGAAACTCGCATGCCTAAACGGTCCAGCGTCGACTGCAATTATAAAAGTTTTAAAATATTATATGCCAATAGAAATGAGAATAAAGACTTGCTGTTGGGGATCCAAATACTTTTTCTTGGCCTCAATATTTGCGTTCAGTTGTTTAGATATCCTTTTTTTAATAATATTAATAATAAAAACAACAACAATAATAATAATTACTTTTCAAAATGCTCTTCAATGGCTTCCTCATTTTTTTTATAAGTTACAGTAGAATTCTTTTGTAATTTCATGCGCTTTATTATTTATACAGTAAAAGAAATATTTAATATATAATAAAAATTAATAATTTATTAATTAAGTACTAAAAATAGTTAAGTTTAGATATAATTATAGACAACATTTGTTCCCACCAAAAAAAAACTATTCGTTATATTTATAGCGCCCTAAAAAAAATTTAAATCAAGTAAAGAATTTTATGAAAAATAATAAATGCTTATATTACTAAAAAAATTAAAAAGTTATCTAATTTGAATGCAGGAATAAATTTCGTAGCGGTTTTACTTATTGTGATTATATTTTAATCTAGATCAATAGTTGTTAGTTAAATGCGTCCAATAAGAAAATATCCCCAAAAAATACTCAAATCACGTACACTTCAAAATTAAAAAAAAATAAAAAATAAAAAAATATACATACAATTGTTTGCGCCAGTTAAAGAAAACAATTGCTGGCGCCAATAAATAACAAAATATTTTGGTGACAATAAAAATTTTATCCAATCAGAAAAAAATTTAAATAAATTTAAAAAAAGATTATTTATATTTGAACATTTAAATTTATTTAGCGTTAAAGCTTTATAAAAAAAACTTTTTAGGGCATATAGTTTCATGCTATCGAAAGTGTATATTGATATAATTATTAACAATAAATTCATTAAAGTTTTGTAGTTAATAATTATTTTCGGTTAACATACTCGTACGCGCCAAGATATATTTTTTGAGTAATAAGAAAAAGTAATGAATTCTATTTCGCAGTAGAATATAATTAAAAAATTATTCAGTTGACTAAAAATAAAAATAAAAATAGTTAATCTTGAAAAATCTAAAAATTTCAAATATTTAATTTTGAAATCAAAATTTTTTGCGCCCAAAACAGCGCTAAATATTTTAACAAGCATAATTTATTTCGACATAAACTATAATTTCGTGAATAAATAATATGCGAAAACACACGTGCCTGCTCTCAATCAAAAAAACGACTATCAATTAAAATCATAAAAAAAACGCAGTAATCAATTATGCTCCTCATTAGTCAATCATTGATGAGTTTCACGAAACTTATTTTTATTGGTTTTAAAATCCAAGCTACTATTTCACGAAATAACTGCAAAATTCATTATTTTTTTTGTCCCCAAAATAATATTTTTGTGCCAGTCCGCCGTAAAGTTAAAAAAGAAAAAGGGCGCCAAAGCGAGAGCATATAATAAAATGACAAATAATTTTTGGCCCCAACAAATTACAACTTCATCATCAGCTTTGGCGGCTTTTTCGATTTCATCAAAGTTGATATCGTTTTGAACTGTAAAAAGTATTACCATTATTATTATCATTATTAAAAAATGAGAAACCTTTTACTATTCCAAGGCAGTTTTGCAAGTTCCCAACAGAATTAAATTTATGAGAAAATAACAACAATAATAATAATGATAATAATAATAAAACCTTTAGTAAGAATTTCTTTACTTGCACGATTTTGAGAAGCTAAATATATTTAAAAGTTTTTATAATATTACAATAAAAGTAATGTTTATCATAATTATTTACAAACATTTTTTTTTAAATTCAAAAAACATTTATTATTACTATTAATTATTATTATTAATAATTGATAAACATAATAAGAATTATTATGAAAAGTTTAAATAAAAATGATATAAAAAAATTTATTACTATTATTTGTTAAAAGTTCATTATAAAAATGAAATATTACAAAAGGTTATAGTAATTTATTATATTTATAAAAGTTTTACTGATAATAGTAACAAGTAAAACTTATTAATATTTTTTTAAAAATATTATTTAAACTAAAATATATTACTGATAATATCAAGCTTATTATAATAAATAATGGAAAACTTATTTACTTTATTATAAATTTTAAAAGATTAAAATTATAAAAAAACTATTATGAGCAGGTAATAAAAGTTTTATTATTATAATAAAAGCAAGTAAAACTTATTATTATTATAAGAATGCAAACTAAAAATATTATTAATAATAATTAAAAATTAAATAATATAATTATTACTATCAAGTTTGACTTTTATAATAAAATACTGTAAAAGCTACAATTTATATTATCAAAAGTCTTTTTTTGATAAAAATATTTTAAAACACTATTTATTATTATTAAAACTGTAAAAGATTTGTATAATTATATAAAACTAAATAAATTATTATTAAATAAAAATTTTACTATTATAATAAATATTATTAAAAGTATTATTATTATAAATAAAATATTTATTATAATTATAAATCGTAAAAGATTAATACAATAATAATAAAAACCAATATTTTACAAATTTTATTTTACAATTTATTAAAAGCTTATAAAAGTAATATATTATTACTAATAAAATATTACTATTATAAAAAAAGTTAATATAATTATAATAATTACAAGTATTATTAATATTATTTAAAAAAAAATAGTATTATATTAACAAAATAATAAAAACTAAATATTATTATTTATTAATGTTTTGCTGTTATAATAAAAATAATGTAAAAGTTATGGCGATCCTTAAAATAAGTTATTATTATTATTAAAAGTTTATTATACCAATAAATATTACATATTCTATTATTTCTTAATAAAATATAAACAATAAAAAAGTGGTCATTTATATTTTTATCCTTGTTATCATTATTTTTAAAAAAATATTATCGTTATTATATATAAGTATATTACTAAAAATAAAAAGAAAAAGTATATTATTATGATTTCCTTATTAAAAAGATTATTAATTTATAATATTTTTCGAAAAACTATAACTACTATAATTGACTAAAGTTTTATATAATTTATTATTGTTTTACTTTTACTAAAAAAAGCAAAACAAGCAAAAGATCCTGATTAGTAATCATAATTCTGAAAATTAAACTTTTTTTGTTTATTATTACATTTATTATTACATATATTATTGCACTTTTATTATGTATTATATTATTATACACGTATTATTATTATATTTACTACTATTATTTATAATATATCTATTGTTTATAAAATAAATATTTGTTATAATTATAAATATTATTATTATTTATTTTGTTATTATTATTATTACTAGTATATTTATTTATATATTTACAGTTATAATTATTATTACTTTATAGATTGTTACTATAATAATAAAAAAAAAGCAAAAGTTATTATTTTTATTATTATAACTGGTTTTTTCGATTATTATAGTAAAAACTAAATATTATTTTAGAATTCTAGAGTTTTATAATGATTATTATTTATTAATTATTACAATAATAATGAAAACAAGCAAAAGTTATAAGTATTATATTTATATTTATAAAAATTTTAAAAAAAGACAATTTATTATTATTATTCTAATGAATAATTCTTTACAAGTTTATTATAATAATAAAAACTAAATAATTATTAGTAATAGTTGTTTGTTATAATATTTAAAAATATTATAAAAAAGTTCTACTTTTTTATAATCAATATTTTATTTATAATTATTAAAAAAAATCTATTATTATTATTTTAATAATTCGTTAAGAGTTTATAGTATTATAAAATATTAAAATTTAAAAAAAAATTTACTTATTTATAAATAATATTAATTTTATAATTATTAATATTAAAAAAATTATTAGTTATTACTGTTTCATTATTATAATAAAAATTAAGTATAAAAAAAAGTTTTATAGAATTATTTAAAAGTTTACAAATATTATTTAATAATCAATTAATATTTTATTTATATTTATTATTATTAAAAATATATATTATTCTTTTGTTAATATGAATAATTCGTTAAAGTTTCTTATAATTATAAAAACTAAATAAATAATTATTTTTATTAATAGTTTATAAAAATATTAAATTTAAATAAAATGATTACTTAATAAAAGTTTTACTGTTAGTATCATTATACTTTAATATTTATTTATAATTATTATTAAAAGAATATAGTATCATTATACTTTAATAGTTATTTATAATTATTATTAAAAGAAAATATGTAATATTATTCTTGTAATAATTCGTAAAAATCATTTAAAAATTTAAATGAAGTAATAAAAAAATTACCAATTATTATTATAAATATTATTAAAAAAATGTAATGCGTTAAAAATTAATAATAATTATAATAAAACCAAATAAATTATCAAAAATAAAAATATAAACTAATGAAAATTATTATTAAAAAAATATATAAATTTATTACTATATAAATTATAATTATTATTCGTTAAAAGTTTATTATAACAATAAAAATAAAAAAAAATAAAACTATAAATTATTGAAAGTTTTATAAGTTTTAGAAAATAATTATAATTATTTATTATTAATAAAAGTTTTATTATTATTTTAATTATAAATACCAAAATTATTATTTATTCAAAATTTGCAAAATAATAAAAAGTAAATTTTATTTTGTTGTTTTAATATAATTTATATGAAAATAACTATAAAATATTATTTACTATTATAAAAGTTTTTTTTAATAATATAATTCTTAATAAGAAAAAAATTAATTATTATTGAAATTATATTGATTTTTACTTCTTATTAGTAATAAAATAATATATAATAAAACTATTTTTTTATTATATGTATAAATAATTATAATAAATAATATATAATGATTAAAATTTCTAGTAAAAATTTTTAATCTAAGTATTATTCATTATTAGTTAATAAAAGTTCTAATTATTATCAACTGTCCTTTAAAGTCTATATTATATAAGTTTTTTCATAATAATAATATGCAAAAATTCATAACATAATTTACTAAAAATTTTACAATAAATATGAATACAAATATTTTTTAAATAATAATAAAAACTAAATATTATTATACAAAAAATATACATATAAAAGTTTTTAATATTAACTTAAACTAAAATACATATACTATAATAATAATAAATAAAAGTTTGAATTTTAAGAAATAAAGATTTATAAAAGTTTTATAGAGAAACTTTCTTTAATTAATATTATTATTAATAAAAGTTTCTCTGAGTAATAAATAGTATGTATAATATAATTATAATTGACTATTGTAATAATATATAAAAGTTTTTATTAAAGTTAATAATATTAACTGAATTGTTATCAGGAAAATTTTTATTATTATTATTATTTTATTATTATTATTATTATTACTATTATTACTACTATTAAAAGTTTTTCCATATAATAAAAACTATATAAAATATAAATTAAAATTTCGCAATAAAACTTAAACTAAAAATATTTATTATAATTAATAAAAGTTTTAATATTTTCTGCATAATTATAATAAAAATTTAATTTATTATTATTATTATAAAAGTTTTTACCAATAACAAAACCTAAATACAACTTAGTTATAATAAAAATCATATATCAAAGTTTTTGATTATCAAGTTTATATTATTATATATGAATGTTTTATAAAAATACTCATTTATTATTATAATTACAAATTTTTATTTAAAAAAAAATTATGATAATAAAAATTATAAAAAGCGTTATAGTAATAATAAATACTAAATATATCTATTGTTATATATAAATTTTAGAAAAAGTACTATAAAAATTTTTTATTTAAAAATTATTATTAATTTTTATAATACAAACTTTTATAACTTATAAATAAACTTTGAAGTATTATTATGAAAGTTTATAATAATATAGAAAAAAGTCATTTTTAATAATTTAATATTACAAGTTTATAATAAAAATTATATTATTATTTATTAAAAGTTTGCATATTGTAATTTTTAGTAGCTTTATTATTAATATTATTATAATTTCCTTTATATAAAAAGTTTTATTATAATATTGCAAGTAAAAGATTTATTATTATTATTATTATAAGTTATATTAATAAAAAGTTTTGTTATAATATTGCAAGTATTAAATTTAAATAAAGTTTTATAATAATATTTCAAAAGATATCTAATATAATTACTATTTCATATACAAATTTTATTAGTGTTAAAGTATTATAATAGTTAAAATTTGTTAAAAAAAGTATAAAATAGAAAAATAAATAAAAAATAAAAATGGACAAACTTTTTTTTAGTATAAAAAACAATATATTTACCGGAACTGTTAGTAAATAGTATACTTTCAGATAACTTTTCCACTGGAATATTATTATTTGTATTACTTTTTGAGAACTGTTATAAAAAATAAATAGTATATATTATTTCGTTATAAATATAATAGATAAATATATATTTAAAAAAAAAACTTTATAAGTAAAAAATACAATAATTAATAATAATAATAATAATTAACAAAATATCTATATAAAAAAAATATTACAATATAAAAAAAGTAATAAAAAAGTTTTAATCTTGTAATAAAAACTATTTATTACAAGAAAGTTTTGTTCTTCTTCATTATTATTTTCTTCAGCAGACTGGCTTCCAGCAAAAAGAAAGTTCTACGAAAAAAATTTATAGTTAACTTGATTATACTTGTGCTTCATAATAAAATAATAAAAGTTTTTCATAATAATAATAAGTAAAAGCATTCAATTAACAATAAATAACAATATATAAAAAGTGTAATAAAACATAAAAAATTACATTAATAATAATAAAATAATAAAAATAAAGAAACTTTTAATTATAAATAATAAAAATTATAATTAAAATATATATAAAACACAAATAATAAAGTTTCAGTATAATAATAATATAAAAACTATTATTAATAATAAGCTTTTCTTATAAATACCAATTATTATCCATATATTTAATAAAAAGAAATTTAATAAAGTAATAAAATAATAAACAAAACTTTTCCTTTCAAAAAAAACATTGAGAAAAAATAAATAGCTTCTATATAAAATATAATAAAAGTTAATAATAATAGAAACTTTTTCTTGTGAATATAAATAATTTTAACATATTTAATAAAAATATTGAAAAAAAAATTATAATCAAAAACTTTTCTTTATAATAAAAACTTTTATATAATAATAAATAAAATAAAATTTAATAAGTTTTACTTATAATATAAATTATTATTATATTAAAAAAAATCAAAAAGAAAATTAATAATAAATTTATTTTAAACAAAAATAACTTTTATTAAAATATAAATAAACCGTAATAATAATAACAAGTTTTATAAAAATAAATATAGTTATACAAAATATACAAATAAAAAAATAATGAACAAAACAATAATAAGTTTTACTAATAATTATAAATAATTTTTAAAATAAAAAAATAAGCAGTTGGAAAAATTATCAAAAAGAAAATTTATATTATTAAAGAAAATATAATAAATAAAACACGTTTTCCTTTTAAGAGAAAATATTTTTTATAAAAATAAATTACTTGTATTAATTATTAATAATAAATTTTACTTAAAAAAAGTTATAACAAATAATTTATAATTTTACTAATAAATATAATTTTTCACAGAAATATATATTAAATAAATTTATAAAAAATATAAAAATAATAATAATTTATACTATAAATTATTTTTTATTATTTAACAAAAATAAATTTAGCAATGAATAAGTTTTACTGGTATATTTAAATATTTCCTCATAAAATATGATAAATATAAGTATAAACATATAAATATAATAAGAACTTTAACCGATAAATTAATAAAATTTTCAGTAAATTAATAAGTTTTACCTAGAAATAAAAAAGTTTTATTAATAAATTTTAATATTTTTTATCAAAAAATATTATATATACTTCAAATAATATAAATATAGTAATAATAACGTAAAAAAAAAATTAGAATGATATATAGTAAAAAAGTTTCACTTACATATTTAAATATTTTCTTATAAAAATGTAAAATGTAAATATATTAATAATAATAATAACTTTTACCAATAAAAGTAAAATTATGAAATATTATATAGTAAAAAAGTTTTACATATAAATTTATATATTTTCTTATAAAAATATATTAGCAACAATTATAAAAAATGTAAGCATAATAATAATTATAATAACGTTCACCGATAAATGAAAACATATATTATATTGGTTTATAATAAAAAGTTTTAATTATAAATTCATATAAATTCTTATAAATATATAAATTATAATTATAAAAAGGTAAATATGTTAATAATAATAATATTTATTGAAAAAATATAAAATAAAATTCGATATTAAAAGTGTATTCATCAGTAAAAAAAGTTTTATTACTAGATTTATATTTCTTAAAAAAAAATATTTTATATATATTTTTTGTAGTAATAAAAATATAATCATAACTTTTACCAAAATAAAAAATATATATTTTTTTGTAAAAAGCATATTAAATAATTAATAACTTTTTTCTTAATATAATAACTTAAATATAATTATAAATAGTAACAATTTATGTAATAAAGAAAAATAATATTATTTTTATTATAAGTACAATAAATAGTAGATAATATTAACTAATAAATATATTTATAATAAATATATACATAAAAAAATAGTAAATTTTAATAAAAACCGGAGAAACTTAAAAAATTTTATTATAAATAAATTTTACTAATAATTATATAAATTTCGTAATAAATTATATAATATAGTTATAATAAATTCAATATATTTATAACAATTTTTATTAAAATAATAATAATAAAAAATTGTATTTCTACTAAAAATATATTAAAAATAATTTAACTAATAATTATGTATTATTTCTTAAGAAAATAGACAATATAAAAAATTATAAATTATATTAAATAGTAAATAAGTTATACTAATGAATATAATAATAATAATATGGACAAAGAAAAAATATAATAATTACAAGAATAAATGTTTTACTAAAAATGATAATAAATAATTATTATTAAGTATTTCTTAAAAGGTTACCGATAATTATTATATAATATTTTTTTATAATACTAAAAATATTTAGAAATTAATAATAAATAAATATTAAAAAATATAAAACATGCAAAGTAAATTTATTACAGAAGTACTTTAAGAAGTTTATTAAAAAAATATAAAAGTAAATAGAATATAATAAAAAATAACTTCTGTTATTTTTAACCTTTAAAAGTTTTTTTTAGAAGTTACTATTTATTATTATTATTATAATAAATACATTTTTTATTTTATCTACTTTATAGTTTTTATTTTATTATTAATAGTAATATTATTGCACACTTTCGTTATTACTATTTTTTTATTAAAAGTTAAAAAATGCTTAAAATATACTCTCATAAAGAAATTTTAACTTAATAATAATATTTTTAAAACTGATAAAAAGGTTAAAAAAAAAATAGTAAAGTTTAGTTTCAGTATATATGAAAGTATAAAAAACTTTAATGAAACAAACAAACAAAAATTTATTTATAAAAATAAATAATAATAAAGCAAAGTTAAATTTTTAAAGCATAGTAAATAATTATTATTATCATTACTATTATATTTATCCAAAAGTTTTAATAGAAAAATTTCTTGTTACTAACTAAAAATATTAATATTAAAACCTTAAAGTTCCCTTGATTAACAATTCGCTCTGCTTGGCTTTCAAGTTTTTGTCGATAAGCTACCGCAGTCCGACTTAACCATATTAAAATAACAATAATTAAATAAATAAATAAAGTTTATGATAATAATATAAAAACTAAAAAAGTACATAATAATATATATAAAAACTTTAAAAAAATAAAAAATAATAGTAGTAATATTAATTTAAATACAAAAAGTCCTTCAATAATAATAAACAAAAACTAAAAAAGTATATAATGATAAATATAGAAAAGTACATAATATTGATATTTACATAATTAATATAATGTATAAAAATATAAAAAAGTAGGTAATAATTAAAATATTTATACAAAAAGTTTTTTTAATAATAATATACAACAGTTACTAAAGTACCTAAAATGTTAATATATATAATAGTAGTAATAAAGCAACTATTATGACTAATACATAATAATGTATAATAGAATTTGAAAAAACATTAAAAAGTATTTAAAATGTAATAAATAAAAGAATCAAATAATAAATAAAAATAATCCTAACATATAAAAATAGAATAACAATAAATATATAATATTATATATTATATTAAAAATACTAATACTATTAAAAATTTTATATACATCAGAATAAAAAAAAATTATATTTAAAAAGCATAATTAAAAAAAAATATGTAATAATAATAATAAAATAATGGTCAAACTTTATATTATAAAAGGTACCCAAAAATAAACAGAAAATAAAAATGCGTTTAAAAATTTATTAAAAAAATGATATCAGCATTATAAATATAAAAAATTTATAAACAATAATAAATATAATGAAAAAATATTAAACGATAATAAAGAAAAAGTAAAAAAATATAAATATACTTAATAATTTTAACAAAACTGTTAAGTAAAAAGTTACTCTTTATATAAAAAAAAATAAAACGAATAATATAAAAAGATAATAAACAATAAATAATATTATATCTAATAAAAAATTAAAGTAGTAATAATAATAATCGAGTAAAAAAAATATTATTTAAAGTATAGTTTTATAAAATCTATAAAAAGATAAAAATAAAATAAAAAAAATAAATAATAAATTATATATTTAATAATTCAAAAAATAAAAATAAAAGCATTTAAGTCAAAGCTCTACTGCAAGAACAACAACTCAAAATCATACATTCGTAATCGTAAAATATTTCTCATTGCCTTAGATATAAGTCAATTTTGTCGACAACTAATTTAAAACTTATTTATTTAAAAAATAGGAAAGTTATCGGCTAATACGTACAATAATTAAAATTAATTATTGTGGAAAAAGAAATAATTAATTTCCATAAAACCTGTTTATAATTCAACTTAAAAAAAACTAAAATTTGAAAACTTTGTACTGCTATTATTATTTATATAATAAACCTGTTATATTTGGAATGGAAATCTTTTGTATAACAATTGTGATCCCTAAAAAACTGTAAAGCAATCGCATTCCCTTAAAAAATAATTGTTTTAAAAAAAAAATTATTGTTAAATTATTTACTATTTTAAATTATAAATTATAAATTTATAGTAAATTTTAACTCTAACCTCCACACTTCATTTTTATTAATTGCTTCCATGTCCAAGAATCAAGAAGGGTGGATCTTTTTAAGTAAATTTTTTTTAAAAAAAAAAAAAATTTAAATTCATATATAATTTTCCACATCTTAAACCTCACAAAAGAAGTATGAGTTCCCAAAGAACGATGTACTCCTGAGCAAGTCATGCACAAAAATATACCGTGGGATATACTGGCCCAAGAAGGATTCTTGTAAAAAATTTTTTTAAATAGTTATAAAAAATAATATAAAGAATAAAAAGAATAATAGCACCTTTGCATTACAATCAAAACAATGTTTATTTTCTATTTTACTCTTTAATTTTTCAAAAATTTGTTCCATTTCCTCTTTTGTAGGCTCCATCCTTAATAATTTATAAAAGAGATACTTTAAAAAAATACTAATTTAAATTAATAATTTTATGAAAAGTTTAAATTTTAGTTTCATGTCTTAACCATTTATGCTAAAAAAAAAACCGAATATAAAATATTTAAAAACTTGGAAATTCAAAACTGTTAGAAAGATGGAACTAGGAAAATAACAAGATAAATAAATAACAAAAACTTATCTTTTCTCAAAATACCTAAAAAAAATTATTTTTAATTAATAAATGAGACGTAAAAAGATTGTTTTATGAAACAATTTTCAAGAAAAGTAATAAAAAGAAACATTATAAGCATAAATAAAAAGATACATACTAGTTGTTTAACTAAAATATAACAAATTAGGTATGCCCACTTTGATAAAGTTAATAATATAAGAGATATTTTTTAAAGTATCAAGAATTTATCGTTTTTTAAAAAAAACTATGTATTCGCCTTTAATTATACTGGTTTATTAAAATATTGGCCAAATGGGCGTTCAGCAATTAAAAATTATAGAATTCAACAAGTCGAAATATATTGCGCAGGTCCTTATAACTAAATTTTTTTTTTGACTTATTTGTAATGTAAATCCATTTAGTAAAAACTTCATTAATAATTTTTTAATGAAAAATAAGGCCATTAATATGTTTAGTTAATAGATAAGAAAATTTGTTTATAAACTATAGCTTTCTCAAAATATTAGTCAGTTTCTAAAGGTTTTACAATATCTACCTTTTAAAATATAATTTTTTTAATCAACATAAAATTTATTAATAAAATAGAAAATAAAATAAAATAAACACCAAAATTTGCATTACTTTTTAAAAAAAAGGGACTTTGCTCTAAGCTGTGAGGGGCGGTAGACTGGCGCACAATATTAAAAAGGACCACAATATAAAATGTCTTTTGGATTCTTATTATTTAATTTTATCATTTTTTTTCTTTTATTGTAAATTTTCCGTGTTAAAAACTTAGTGTAGAAAAAATATTTTTTATTCTCTAAACTTTCTTTATGTATATTATGTGTACCTATAGATGATAATTATTGTCACACGAGCAAAGAGTGTTTGAAAGAAAAAACCTAGTTTATTATTCGAAATCAGTTTTAAAAAATCAAAAAGGGGTTGTGCACCTCAATTATTTTCTACAAACGTGTAAAAAAATTTTAAAAAGTTTACTAAAAAAGTTTTGAATTATAAAATTGTTATAACAAATCTTCATCTACGTTACTAGTTATAAAGGTAGCCTTAATAAAGCAAGTTTCAAGCTCACCGATTGTATGGCCATCTCGCATGTGGTATTGTACACAAAGTGGAATGAACAAAAATAAAAACTTTTTAGGTAATATATATTGTGTACAGTAATATAATAACCTTATATTCTCGCTAAAACGTGAGAAAAACAATAAGTAAAACTTTTTATTTAACCTTTTTCTCTGTTTAAAATTAATGCATAACCCACTCTGAATATTATAAGGAAAGGACGAATAAACCTTTAACATATACTCTGATGGTAGTTGTTGTAAAAAAATAAGCAAAAAATAAACAACAAAATCAAATAAGAAAAAGTATTTGAGGTCTTGAGCAGTTAAAGGTTTGGCAGTAGCAAGTCAGAGTTAAAAATAAACAAATTAATTAAATAAATGAAGTGCGTGCACGTCCGTTTATGTTTTATTAATGCCAGTTCTTGATGCTCGATCGAGTATAAAATTTCGAATACTCGAGCTCTTAACCAAGAGTGGTCGTTTTTTTTACATTAACAAAAAAAGAAAACTTCAGAGAGTCGCGTGGGCGGTGATAACGTGCCGTCCCATGGCTCGTTAATAAGTTCGCTCATCAATAGGCGATCAGCGTACTTGGTGGGCCTGTCGTAAAGGACCACTGCGTTGGAAGACAATGTTTAAAGGGCCCAGATGGAGATCCCGGTGAAGAGTATCATTTCGCACAGGCCACAGCGCCTTTGTCAGAACACGCAGTAATTGTTCTGTCGTGCTTGATGAGCCGTCGCTATCGTAGAGGAGTCGGTGGGTCCAAGGAGCAGACGTGTAAGTCATTATTGGCAGGATGTAAGGCAAATATAAGTTGCTGAGAAAGCTTACTCTTACCGCAAAGTAAAGGATAAAGCGCTTTAGTTACTCATAATCTTTATCACCTACATAGTCCACGTGAGACCGTCAGGATAATTTGGTGTCAACGATTCCCTTGTATTTCGCTTGAGAACACAGTGGGATCTTCACGCCATTAAAGGTTAAGGGCGCCAAAAAAGAGATGCGTTTCTTTTAAATTAATGTAGTTTTACTAGTAATCTTCCGATCACGACACCAGACAGCAAGGGTCAAGGTAGCGCCGTAGTTGCTTGCATAGAAAGGCGGGAGGCTTCGAAGAGGAATATAAGGTCATATATGGTCTTACCATCAGCGTAGAGGGCGATTCGTGTGTGAAGAGCGGAAGGCAAGGGCACGTCGCTCATGTAAACTGCAAAATAAAGGGGCGAGAGAAGTGAACCCTGAGGAGCCCCTGCTGTCAGAGATCGAAGCGGCGACCGTATATCCCTCAAGCACGCGCTGAAGACGCGACTATTCAGATATGATTTCATCACGTGATAAAGACCATGAGGGACGGATAAACGAGCCCAGTTTTTACAGCAGACCTTTTTGCCAAAATTAATAAAATGCCTTTTCTACGCCAAGGAAGACAGCGCCTGGTCATTCTTACGGTTAAAAGCGTGGGCGTCCCCTTCTGTTAAGCGGAGGAGCTGATGGGTTAGTATTTGCCAGCTTCTGATTCGGTTTAAATGTTTTTGGTAGCATCACAACAGTCGCCATCTTCCATCGAATCGGAAAGCCGCTAAGGAGCATCGAAGATTTTATAAGGAGGTAAAGATAGCGCATCCCTATTAATTGCATTTTCTTCAGTGTCTCATTAATGATGCCATCGGGATCAGGCTCTTTTCGTTAAGGTAGCGCTTCGACAATTGCTTGCACCTCGCAATATTAACTAGATTTAACTAGATTAAGTGATTCGCAGCTGGTACGTTTTAGATAGCAAGAAGATTGGCAAAAAATTTAGCTTCATCTCCGTCACTCTCGGTCACTATATTTCCTTCTCGAATGAGCGGTAGTGATTCAAGCCCCCGATTTTTGATCCTTTTCACAAATTTCCAAGAGAAGGAGCGGCCGCTGCTGCTGCCTGATTCCAGTATCCGATGCAGTTTGCTCCCCCATTTACTGTTAAAATGAACCATTAGCTTTTTTCTAATGCACCTGCGCAGTCGTTTAAGCGCAAGTTTGCCTTTGGCACTCTGCGAGAACACGGGGCTACTCGAATAAAATGTCGAGATTGGCAGATAAGTGCCTTTAGTTCGTCAGACAGGCGGTCGGATAGGTAACGTTACTTCACGAGTTGTCATGGCAGCAGTGTGAGAAAATTCATTGCAATTTTGAAAGGTCCACAGCATCATCCAGCAGGGCGGGTGTGGACGGTAATAACGGTCATGGAGGCAGCGTGGTTTCTAAACGTCAGCATATTTTTCCCAGTCGGTAAAAATTAGGGTAATGATCTTTGGTGAGTCCTTCTCAGCCTTTAAATCGAGAATAACTGGGAAGCGATTAGGAGGACAGCCCGTGGAGCGCTTCAGATGCCGTGAGAGACGTATATCTTTAAGTATGGCAACATTTAGTACGACCATTGCCCCTGTAGTCGCCAAGTGTGTTGGTGCTGGGGACCTAGCACGCACAGCCCGTGCTCATCAGTATAGACCTCAAGGATGTGACCTTTCAAGTTACCGGCTCGGCTGTTCCATAAAGGGTGCTTACAATTGAGATACCCGCACAAAACAGCAGAAGAAGCACTTCCAAGTAAGGCGTCCAAATAGGGGGTCGGAAGCAGCTTCCAAGGGAGCTTGTAGACAGCGATTACAGACAAGGGCCCCTTGTCGGTCGTACATAGAGAAATTCCCACTGCCCCGAAACCTTGTAAAGCGGGCATAGATATCGAATGATGTCGAATACGCCGTTTCACCAAGACAGCACGCCCCCGCTGGGTGCATCAATTCTGTGTTGGCGATACTAACAAAGCTGTACAAATTAAATACGACGTTAAGAAGGAGATGCGTCACTTTGATGACGCACACATTAATTCTTTCTCAAAGTAACAACTCCTGAAGCTCGTGCTTCTTGCTCTGAACACCATTTGCATTCCAGAATAGGAGTCGAATGTAGCGGCGCGTCTTTGGCTTAGAAACCGTTGCAAACAGATTATAGTCCCATCACAGTTTCAAGCATGCTGGATAAATTCGTCTTTAAAAATGCTAACATTTTTTTATTTAATTGCGATTGTTCAACTTTCGCAGTTAAAGCATGGCCAGGGGCTTTAAACCTAACGGGATATTGGTCAAATCTTAATGAGGTTTTTTGTTCTCAAACGAGACGCGTAAAAGACCACCTGGGTAACAGCATTGCTTGTAGTTGGCGCCGATGAAGTAAACTTTGCGGATTGGCTGGCTGCCTTAGGCGGGTAACATTTGCAACCTTGATAGTTAGCGGTATGTGCCTCGCCACAATTTGCACATCTAAAGGGTGTGTCTCGTGATTTGGTACACTTCGGAGTCAAACGACCCTCATTGCATTTAACGCATCGAGGTTCGGCAGTGGTGGCACTGACCAACGCGACTGCTTTTCGAAAATCTTATATTTTAATCTGAAGGTGGGAAATAGTCCTCACCTCTAAAAGCTTTTGTCGCTCCGTTCTGGGTGTACTCACCAGCACTAGTGGTAACGGTCGCCTCTTCCGCTCGCCATTGACATTTTCCTCCATACGCATCCGTCCACTCGGAGGGGTGTGAGACCTTAACGCGCAGGTCCGTCTCGACGATGGAGATATCGAGTTCGCGACAAATTCCACGAATAACAAATTTGTGTGTTTTGTACTCAGGTAATTGTTAAAATGAAATTTTTGCTTGCGCGGTATACTTCAGCGGTTGTTGGAAAAATTTT